CAACATTGTTATTTTAACTGATAGGGGAATTGAAATAATAATATACATTTCATAAAACAATTTTCAAATGTTTTGGCTTGTTAATTTCAGTAATTTTATAGGTAAGCAGACCTTTGAGCCTAGGAACATTTTTTCCAGATTAAGTATAAAACAAAGAGACTTAAGATTACAATTCAGTGAAAAATTAAAGACAATTCCACAGCGTACACAATAAAAACAATAGGAATTGTTATTTTCTGGGTCACAGAACACGAGTCTTTTATCCAGCCTTCCTAATAAGTATTTGTTTGTACATGTATCTGCATATGTGGGCATGTACTGTGTAAAAGCATTAGTAGGTATCATAACAGAGCTTGTTTGTTGGAACTGATTTACCATGTTAGGTTGATTTATTTTTCACACATGAACAACAACACAAACAATCACCTGAGCAAAAAGGAAATAATCGCACCTAATTATTAACTGTGTTATGTTATCTACTGGACTACACATTGGCCAAGAAATTTAAGTAAAAATGGTACAAGGAATTGTTTATTAGTAACCTTATTCCTTCTACAGTTCTGTTTGTTTAACTAGTACAACAACCTGCTGTAAACCCATGTCAATACTTGCTGGCTTTTATCAATCAATGTCAACATCATCGGCTAGGCTAATGTCAACTGAGGCGCTAGTGCGGTTAGAAAACCCCAGCCAGTGGAACTACTCACAATTAAGTCACACAACATTTACATCATATGATCCAAGGTACAAAAAGCATGGCAACATATGTTGTTAGGGCAAAAAAAAATCACCAAATCTATTCATTTTAAACAATCAGGTTTGTATTTTTCATTGCAGCTTCAATACTCCTAAAGATCATACCCTTATGGATTAATAGTCCTAATCATTCACTTTATTTTACAATAATCACCAAAACTCCAGCAATCTCAATAAATCCATTTATTTCGCAAAGTTGGTAATAAAAGAACTTTCAATTATTTTACCCTTGGTTTTAATTGATTTCATTATAATATTTATAAATTGGGGTGGGGGGGGGGGTACTCAAATTCAAAGCATGTGTGTTAAAATTAACATGTCTAAAGCCATGGCCATGGTGTTGTCAGGGCAAGGTCCCAGAAGGTCATTTAGAAAAAAATTTGAACTTCAAGTCATAGGCAAATTGTCTGTACCAGATCATCAAATTCTTACAATAGGTGATTTTCCGTACAATTGCGAGATCTCGCGAGATGCATGAAAGACGCGCGTCGAACGTCTGCCGAAAAAATCGAACGATTTGATTTTGAACTCGAATTTCTTTATCTCGTAGCTCACATCGACCGGCCGATCTTCGACAGAGAAATATTGCTTCCGAATACCCTTACTTAATCGAAATTGTCTATCATCAAATGTGGACAGCACATTATAAGCATGGAAATGTCTCCCAAAATACTTTCGCGTTTGTCGAATCCCACGCGATGTTTGACGCCACTACGACGCTATGACCTTTGTTTGTCCTGTTTTTACGTTGGATTTCACGCATAACGCGTGATTCTCGCAGTGAACGGAAAATGGTCTATTGCTGGCAACTGGATAACAACTTCACGGGTGGTCTTAAGATCTTTCAGGGAGTCAGTGAATTTCATAGCGACCTCTAAATTATCATAAAAATCATAACATTTTTAAAAACTTAAACTCAACTGTAAATTAAATGAAAGGCTGGTCCCACTGGGCAAGCAGAGTGGAAATTAGACCCCTGTAGGAAGAGCCGTCTTGCACAGCAATTGGTTAAAGTGCATGTGGTTTTCTGATCCAATCACAACTAATCTAAACAGTGAAACCTTGTTGGCATGTGCTAAAAAACAGAGGGCTAGGTCACTTTGTAAATATTCTTTTATCAGTGGGCTGAACCCTGCTTTCCGTTCTTAAGTCGCAATGGGTTAAATTAGGCACTCACACCTTATTCATCTACCATTGTAGTGCTGTTTGAGGGCATTGTTTTAACCTGGAGACATTTTTCACATGTTCATATGTTTTAACAACAGTTGGTTGAAATTAATTCCCATGGAAACCAGCTTTTTTTTGCAAGAGAGTGTGAATACTGTATAAAGTTACTACAACCTGATCTAAGATAAACATTCTGCCAGACAATCATTTACATACCTAAGTACTGGTCAGTTAGAAAACCCAAGTAAACTATAAATAAGTCTGCACTTATTTCTTGCCTGTCACATAAATTTAGTTTCCCTGCTGTTAAAACCTTGGAAAAGTCAACTAACAGTGGGGTGTGTCAAGCAATGAATTGTGAGGGACTTGCCACATACAACCTTTGGTGGAAAAATATCATGCTTCAGTGAACTTTTTAAATTCAAATGACAATAAAGACCAAATGAGTCAGTTAACATTTTCTGGTAAGGATGAATGAACGTTTTATTCATTGCCAGCAGACACATAGAGCTGACCACTGGCCTTCAGACCTTACCTTTTGATGTACAATTGAATAAAATAAGATAATAGTAGTGCCTTGGCAAGAGCCTTGAATTTATAAGCATTTCTATTAACACTTATGTTCAAGATACAGGTCTGGAGTTAAACTTTAAACCAGTCATTGCACAGCGAGCATTCCAATTAATTATTTATTTTATGTTTATACACTTTGCATGCCCTATCATAGAAAGAGACAGAAATATCAACATGTTTTAGCACTTATGGCCAATCATTGATGCTACAGGAGAAACAGAAATGCCCACCCAGACAATATTAAAAAAACAATTTTTAAAGGGCGGTGTGGAGCACCAGGGTATCGGTACCCAGTACACAAGCAAAAAATAGTCTCTATTGTCCATGTTTGCACTTCGCAATTGTTTTGTTTTCCATTGAAATGATGTAGTTCTTTTTGCTATATATTTATTCTAGAAACTATAAACTTTATAGATCTTAAAAAGTGTCCTGTTGGCTTTGGTTTACAATGTAGTTGCAGAGTTTGGTACACTTCAACATTTTGAAAAGTATGCTGGTAAAAAATTATTATTATTATTATAACAATGTTTCAAACACTGAACCATGCAATACTTAACCCTAACCCTTGCAATACATGGACTCGCACTTATTCTTATGCAATTAAAAAAGACATTTCTAAGACAAGACTATCACTCATTCTAATACTAATCAATGCTCAGTATGGCAGGATGTCACTAAGGGCATATAAACAAATACAATAAACTTATAACAAAATTAAATAATCAAAAAAACAGTGCGAATTGTTGAAAAAGCCTGTTGCTTCTTTGAAAGGAACTCATAAATATAATGACGAAATTTTGTAAAACGTCATGGAGTGATGAAACTGGGATACAACTTGTAAGCGTAGCAACTCACCGGTACTGTCTTTCCTTTCCGGCGTCCGAATAACTGGGCTACTTGATAAACTTGTCAGAACCATCGCCGCCATCACTTCATCCATACTTGCCTCCGACTCTTCGTCTTTGCGTTTCATCTCAGGAAATACAACTCCGTGGCTGAAAATTAAAATATAGGATGATAGCAAAAAAATATTCTCTCAGATATTAAATATGTTTACAATTAAAAATGGCATAAAACGGTTTAAAACCAGCGGTCATGTGCTGATGCAGGCATACGACATAGGTAGGTTCCCGGCATAAGCTGTACCGTACCGCTCGAGTTGTGTATGTATTCCGGCATAGGCTGTACCGCTCGAAATGGGCAATCCCGGTACAATCCATACGAAACGCATATATGATTTCAGAAAAATAAATTCACACACACCATTCTGTGGGAGCTGCTGGGACGGGGATTTTACTCCTGGTGCGGCCGTGCCGTTTCATAAACATGTCGAGCTTACACATGATGAAGAAACACTACTGCATTCACTGCGATAATATTGGTACGTCGCGCTCACTACGTAGTCTGCGAAGAAGTAAAGCTACAGCCGGCCTCGCTCACCGCTGACTTGTCAACAACCCTATCAATACTGTCAATTATCCATTGAACGCACACCACTGAATCACCCAGTTCACGTGATTGGGTTCACTGCCCATACAGTAAACCGTGCAACTTGTCTCGTACGCACTTCCTGGGCGTTCCGGACGGTTGCCATGGAAGCACGAACAATATTAATTTGAAGGGCACAGACATTGTTTTAATTTTACAAATGTAAACATAAAATACATAGAAAAAAATAAAATCACGTATACGTAATTGGAATTTTCCACGTAAATATAATTTTCAATTTGTGATCTGATTTCATCATTAAAATAGATGCGGGGCAACTAAACAACCACAATATAGTGCATAGGCAGGATGTTGCATAATCAACTAAAATAATTTGGCCACAGCTATAATCTCTAAAAATAGACTATGCTAGTTTCGAAAAGGGCATTCTCACATATAAAGTGAAAAAAGAAAAGAATATATTCTGTGTACAATAAGAACTGACTTGGACAGCAGCAGGTAAACGACCGGAGCTATCCGGTGTGAACTCGATAATACGAGACGAGCACCAACCAACGGGCTGCTTGGATATTACATACAGCCCCTCGATGATCGACTCCATCGGCCTAAATACATACGTAACACGAATAAAAAAAAACCATTGTGCATTGAGCACATGTCTCATATATTATGTATGTTGGGCTTCCAAACTGACAAACAACATGCCAGCTAGCTTGACCTACTTACGACTACGCTGAGCGCTTGCTCCACTTTTTAAATCTCCAAACGGTCGCCTAAAACTCTATGAAATGGCAACATTTTGACTCAGTATTGCACACGACAAACATATGAAGAAGCTGTGTATTTTTTTTCTTTCGAAAACACAAATTTGGAAGAGAATTCTCCCTCAAAGAAAATGTAAACAAATGCGAGACAATTATACAAAGTGCGCAATTTGTTGCGAAACAGATGAAAACCAATGTAGTCACCCAATCTTATGTTTGCTGACCAACTGAAATTAGCGGGAAAGTAGGTGAAACATTAAATATCTGTAATTTATTTCATCAATACAGCTATAAGAGAAAACAACAGCATATGCTAACATCGTAATTTTAAAAAGGATGAAAATGTAAATGTATGTAAATAAGCCGGCAAAAGCGGACGTCGTTATCAACACAAACTGGACATGTGCCTTGAAAGAGCGCTTTGAAATATAAAATGACTTACCTCGGAACGTTGATTTCTTGAGATGCCGTTCTTTTCTTTGGCTCAGGACACATATCAGCCAGTTTTAAATAATCTGTCTCGCTGTCCTGTAAGCGAGCCGACTTTCGGCTTTTCAATAATCGGACTTCGTCAATCTTTCTCTGTATCAACGTTTCGACACCAGTTTCGTTGATTTTGATGAAAACTTCATCCATTGGCCGGCGATGTTTTTGTACATGACCACTCAACTCACGTCCGTTGTGAGTAATAAATACTTTTTGGTTGAACTTCAACTGGAAGCTATTAATAGTGCTAAAGCCGGGTCCGACAATATCAATGTCCCTGTATTCCTTTGCATACCCGTCATCAAAACGGATGGCGAACAGGTCCTCTTCCGTATTTGGTTTAGTGTGCATCTCTTCTATCGTTCCTGCATAAAATACACCGTCTTGCCATGGCGCGCAAACTCTACTGCCGATGATAGACCTCTTCGGATACCTCTTCGCTCCATACATCATACCTCTGCCTATCGCCCCAATTCACCGAAAACGTTCGATTTTCAGTACTCAATAATCGGCCTATGGCTCTTACCTTCGTATAGCATAGCCTCGCAACTGCGTGAAAAAACCGGTGTTTTTCTCGGTGTTGTTTTGATTCTACACATTGCATGTGGGTGTGTTCGTTTATTGAAACCGCAAGAAACAAGCCATTTGATTGGGTTTTCCCTACAATGACTCTGATCATTGATTGGCCTGCTATTTACTGAGTGTCAATTACCAGTGCAGTGAGCCCAACCTATGCAAATCATCGACGATTCAATGCTTCTCACTGTTTACAGTACGTCGGTACACTCACTGACATCTTCTTCCCCTTATGTATTGTAAAGCATTTATGTTTTAAAATAATTCGAGTTTAAACATATAGTGTTCAACTTGAATCTCATCAACACATAGTTTTTTTTTTCGAATTTCGACAAATTCCCATTCATACCGTAATTTGAAACTTGTTTTTGTCGGCATGGCTGAATTCAGACGGCACTTCCCCAAAGTGTGACCTGTATTATAATTTTTCACAAAGATTTGACCACTGATTGGCCATTGCTGTTATTTTTAGTTTGTCGCGCGAGAGGACTTTTCAACGCGTGCTCCGCATGACCCCGCCCACCCAGCCAACTCGGCGCAAACTGATTTGCCTAAGAAAACAAGGCCGTAAAACATGAGCCCCGTGGCTGTTATTATATATTTTGCTCTGCCAGGCAACTCTACGTGACACGGTAGATAGGTCTGAATTACGACACGGAATAACAAATATTGGACCGATTGACGCTGACATTTTGGTTTTTTTTTTTTTTTTTTTTGGGGGGGGGGGGTACTAAAGCGAAGTATCAATGGAGAGTGGATGTTTGTGGATAGACTATAGCAATACCACGTGACTGCGTTCCGCGTCTGCTGTACATCGCATGCCTGGATAGAAACGAGGTTTCTAGTTCAGCACAGTCCTTAGTGGGATATTTACTTGAGGGATTAATAAGGTTAGGCATATATTTCGTCACATAATGATGAGTTGTGTCTCACATACAGACTTTCACATAGTTCTATAATAGTTTAAAACAAAGTTTTTTAGATTAACTTATTTCTACAAACAAAAATAAATTAATAATTATAACATCAGGTGAAAATACATCACAACCTATAGACCAATCTTGAATCAGCGGAATCAGCGCATGGCCAACAGTCTCGTGGTAGAGGGTTCGTAATAATTTAAGACAGGGTTATAATTTTTCATGTATTGTATTATTTAATTATTATTATTTTGCAAATCATCCGTACACATGAACCATACGTTTATTTACTAACGGCTAAATATGCACAAATCATACATCTGTTTAAGGGTCGACCAACTGAAATCGTGGGGTGGCTGGATGATTTGTTAAAAAAAACTAGGTGGACACCGGGGGGGAATTGCATGCAAGGTGTTGCAGGGAACAAGTGTTGGCACAGCCAAAATAACAATTCCTCCAACTGTATACGGACATATTTAAGGTATATTTTTTGAAACGAACTACGCTTCATGTGAAAGGTGTGTAATGTTATAAGCTAATCACTTCTAAAAATACACTGGTGAGATTCTTCTAGCCACCCCCATGATTTCAAATGGTTGCCCCTTAATAAACCTAGTATTCATTCTAAGTTTCTTCTGCAATATATAGGTGTCAATAGGCTTTGAAATGTATGATACTCATATTCATGACGTCATCAGCAGTCCGCTATACTGATTGATGCGCAGTACCATAGTATATAATAGTCGGTAGCAATCGGGCATTCAATAACTTAATGCACACAGCGATATTTTTTTTTTATTTTGTCTGCCGAATGCTGAAGAAATCTAACATGAAATGCTATGTATTCGTTTTGAAATAAACTAAAGCTTGTTTGTTTCATGTATTTTCTCCCACCAAGTATTCAATCTGATTAAAGCGCGGTGGTCGTCGCGCTGCGCATGTGCGACATTTGTGCTGATAAACATTGATTTTCCCGACTTGCACTGAATACCGCCGGTGACTCCTTCGATACCTTCCAATCGCCTAAAGATTATCTAATTATAGCTTGGAAATGTTTGTACTCGTTGATCTGCGCAACAGTCAAAGTCGCCATCTTTGTTTAAATGAGACCAATATACTAGTATCTCGCGCATGCGTGGCGCGATGACTACCACCCTTTAAAATAAGATCCTAGTTTTGGCTTTTTTTTTTCATTTGTTTTTCCTAATTTTATTTTATTTTAATCCATTATTTATTTGTTGATAGGTTTTTAAAGTTTTGGTAATTGCGATAGTTAAAAATATACCGAATCACAAGTACGTACCAAAAAAACATTAAAAATACAAAATAATTTTTAAAAAAATAGTAAAAGTAAAATATATATATAAAATAAAATACACGCCGTACAATACATCTGATTTTAATCAGATTGACCAAGTATCATTCCAATTTTCCAATATAATACACTGTATGAATGCATCTGTAAGTATAAACAATCTCAAGAACAAACATGTGCCTTTCCCATATACGTTTTTTGTCTTATTATATGGATCACGGAAATACATTATATTATAACTGTTCACTGTCATCATATAATGTATTCTTATGTTGATCACTGTCATTATCTGTGTCAATGATTTCTGGCGTGTAATCTTTCATATTTTCCTGACCAAGCTATGCTGCACGGTCTCAAAGCTGTGATTTTCATTAAAAAGCTACACTTTCATTGGTACCCCTGCAAATGCTGTATCGGAATCATTTCCCCTAACTTTGAACGGATTTCAAGTGAAAGGTAAACACTGTCTTTATGCAGCTATTCAACCTCTACGCTTTATTGCGTCACGTCTTCTGATTTCTTTATCTTAACTTGCTGATGCATCTGAACTACGTGGAGCATTGTGAGATTTATAAGAACGCCGCAGTGAAGGGACCCGTTCTGTAATCTATTATATTGCTTACCTCTACAGGGCTATGGTGGAGAGTTTAAAGGGTGGTAGTCGTCGTGCCACGCATGGGCGAGATATATGGGTCTCATAGAAACAAAGATGGCGACTTTGGCTGTTGCGCAGATCAACGAGTACAAATTGAGACAAAACAAAGCTTTAATTGGGTATTTTTTAGGTGATTGGAAGGTATCTAATGAGTCACTGGCTGTAAATCGCGCCCAGGTCATACCTGTGATTTCCATTAGAAGGACGCATTGGATTGTTGGAAAATCAATGTTTATCAACACAAATGTCGCACATGCGCAGGTGAGTGCATGATTTTCTAACCCCGACCATATCATTTCTGTGCAGTCCTTTTAAGTTTCAGTAAATTTACTGTGAAGATGGAAAAAAGATTGAATATGAATGATAATAAAACAAATAAACTGTGAACAACAACGAGGTACAGTGTTGTAGACTGGACTGGATCCAGTTTCTTTACAGGGCAGAACATCTACCAGAGAGGGGGGTCTGGCTATCCCGCTGCAAGATTAACCAAAATGTTTACATTATGTGTACACTTAGTTTGGAAGTTGGATAAGTGACGAGCAAGATTTGTCAGTCTGGAACAGATTATGGATTGACCATTTGAATCTGGGAAAAACAAACAGAAGAAAAAAAACAAGAAACAAAAAACTTGGGTTAGAAATGCATATCTATAAAGTAAATGTAAGGATTACTTAATTAGATATCTGTGAGGCGGGTGTTTTTTTTAATTTGCTTCCTCTTAGGTTGGAACTGTCATATCTGTATTTTGCTAGACATTTTAGCATGGACGTATTGTTTGTGTATAGTATCAACTATGTTAATAAAGCTTATATCAGTGTCACCGTCTAATTATCTTGAGAAGAGTCTGCCTTTCGTGTTTGTATAGCTGACATTTTAACAAAAAATGCTCTTCAATCGTATACAGGTCAGCTTCTTTCAGTAAGGTTAATTTTATAGTATCTGCCCATTTCAATTTGTAAGACATGTGCATTAATCTTAGTCTGGTCATTCATGATCTTTGTAGTGGGTTATTTACTGTCGGCAGATAATTTCAAGTCCATATTCAGTTTTTAATTTTCTGTAAGTACGCTGTTTATTTTTGTGGTTAATACCATTATTGTCATCATTGTTTAGAGACTCTCTACTGATTATTCTGAAGTTTGTTTCGAGTGCTGTAGGAATATTATTTGTTTTCATAAGGTATTTGTTTTCATCAATCTTACCATTTTCTCACTCATGTTTCATTTTTGAGAATAGACCCAATTTTGGCTGACTGAGTTATCCATATTGATTGCCAATCTGTATGCTTCATTTAATACTGGTGATAGTCTGTACCCATTCAATTATTCATATATTGGTGAAAGTTTGTACCCATTCAATTATTCAAATACAAAGTGAAGCTGTTTTCAGGCATATTGCGCAATCTTGACCAATATTTAAACATCTGTCTGATCGATGTAGTTATTAGAGGGTGCCGTCCCAATTCTTATAAGCAGGCAAGATTTGTAGTCCTGCAGTTTATCTTCAGTATGTACTTGCAAAATAAGTGCATTTTTCCATTAGTGACAATAAGTGCATCAAATATTTTTTAGGTTTTTTTAAGTCACATTGTCCATATTCCTGCGCAATATGTGAGTATTGCTTTGATAATGTATGTCCCTTTATCTCTATCAAGGGGACATATTGCTCGCCATTTCACCATTCATATAGTTCACCATATTTTTACCCTTTGATTTGCACTCCATTTCGCAATTAAAATGGCGGTCGTTGGGTCGCATGGGACCATCATGACGCAATGTGACGACGGTGTATGTTTTGTAAACCAACAAAAAATACACAAAATACGTATATGATTTAAAACAATGTATCATTTTGTTTCTCAAAAATACGGTGAACACAGTTGCCAATCAATTCAAACAGAAATAGTTAACAGCAATCTGCGTGGCCACAATTCGTCGTAGGTAAATGGTAGCCAACAAATGAACAAAGCCGTGGATTTTGAATTGTCACAGAGAAACCCAAATAAAATGACACACACAATAATCTATTTAATAAAAACACTCATAAATTTGATAAAGGACAAC